ATACCTCTCCATTTAAAACTAAACCTCATGCCAAGACTTCAAAGATAGGCTTGAGGGGTTCACTCTTTGCTCTTCTTCCCAACACGGCCACAGTGAATAAATCTCTTTTTTCTGACTTATCTATTTCTTTGGTCTACTGAGGTAGCCAGGCCCTTAATCGATCTTGGATACAGGGGTAAGGGAATTTTGTGCCCCCCTGAGTGATTGTTCTGTGACTTACACACTTGACAAAGCCCGTTTGGTACTATATGTAAATTATGCCTCAGTAAAGTCTCCCCCCCAAAGGAGTGGACCTGTTAGGTGGCCTGTCACACTCACCGGTCACAGCGATGACGGAGAGGGGACCCACGCGTTTGCTGTCTCGAAGGCCGTAGAGTAGCAGCTTGTACCTCCGGTCTGGGTCTAGACCAGAGACTCTAACCTCTCTATGGCTGCCATCCACGGGCACCACCTGGGACTGTCCATCCCTGTCCTTGTACTGGACCACAAAGGAGTCAAACTGGCCCTCGGAGACTGTCCAGGAGAGGTCCACAGAGTTTTGGGTCACACTAGTCACCCTCAGTTCCTCTCCCAGTCGAGGTTTTGTGGGGTGCTTTTCTCCAGTGCGGTCCACAGCGTTCATGGGCTCTGAGACGGAGACAGGCAAGACATAGCTCAAGGTCATGGCTGTGACCTTGAAGGGCAGGGAAAGGAGAGGTCGTAGCCACGACAATGGCCTTCTGCCCTTCACCCTGCCGGGAAGCTCTCACCTGTAGCACCCTCTGCAGTGAGGGGGCCAAAGCGTCTTTTTCCCAGAAGCCCATAGAGGAGGAACCTGTACTTGCGGCCAGCATCCAGGGCCGTGATGGTGGCTGTCCGATCTTGGCCCTTTACCGGCACCACCTGGGGCCCACTTTTGTCTTTGAACTGGACCGCAAAAGAGTCAAACTGGCCCTCGGGAACTGTCCAGGACAGACGCAGAGAGTTGGTGGTAGGATCGGTCACCCATAGCTCCCCAAGGCGGGGAGGGGCCCTTGGGCTGGCGTCATCTCGGGCAGCTGACACAGAGAAACGTTCTTGTGTTTATTTTTTTTCCAAAAAACGATTCTTTGACCACCTCCCACCAGCGCTGGAAAAATCCAGAGTGGCCCAAGTGGTCAGTGCCTCCCCAGATATTTCCATCGGCCTCCGGTCCACTCCCTCATCTAACCAGAGCCTTCTTCACTTGACCCCTGTGCGGATGGGTCTTCTGTCCTGACGCAATCCTGTCAATGCTCACCCCAGCTCCTCTCCTCATCTTATTCCCGCTGACAAGAGGCTCTTTCTAATTCCTTAGTGACTTCTCTTTCCACAGGGGACAGCTCATTGTGACGATTGTCTCTGTCTAGTTTTCTTCTCAGAAGCCCCAGCTGAGTGACCTGACTGGTCCCTGGGGAATTCCTAGAGGGTAGAGGCTCATTGTGGGAGACGAGCAAGTGGGGGAGGCTGGATACTATAGGGGTTAAGTGTGGCCCAGCTTCCTGTTTTCTTTCTCATCTGACTCAGAACATCGACTCCACGGGGCTTGGAGGAGGCATGGGCCTGACTGAACTGCTACATGCTGCGGGGACTAGCGTTGGGGGGTAACACACAAGAAAACTCAGAGAAGGAATCCCATGACTGCCAAAGGAGCCAACTTGGGAAGGCGCTGGCCCGCTGCCCTCCTGGACAGCAAAGCCACTGACGGAATTGTTATTGCAAGAGACTTCTGGCAATGGGGAGCCCCAAGGGGCAGAGGAAAGCCTGGACCAAACTCCAAGAAAGGGCCCAGCTGGCTAGGCTTTCTCTGGTTTCCATTTTCCCAGGCTCTAAGAAGTCAAGAGAGGAAGGTAAGCCTCTTCTAGAGGTGGATGTGGGGGCAGAGGGATGGGAGTCCAATGAGAGCTAGAAAGACTGGGACAGTCTCAGGCTGGGACAGTCTCATCTGGGGTGGTAGGAAGGGTTCCTAGTTAGTTTCATTCCTACTCATGAGGCCCCATGTCTCCACAGCCTGAAGGCCCAGC